GGGGGTCAGGTCAATGCAGGGGGGTCAGGTCAATGCAGAGTGGGGGGGTCAGGTCAATGCAGAACAGAGGAGGGGTCAGGTCAATGCAGAGCAGTGAGTGGTAGGGACAGAAGGAAGAGGTGAGGACAATGAGGCCCCATGGAATAGTGGGAAGGTGAAGGGTTGGGGGAATCAAAGCTACAACAGGAGAGTACCCAGGACACAGAGTGCTCAGGAGGTGGTCTGCCAGCAGAGGGATCAGAGCGCGGAGAAAAGCTGCAAAGCGGCGTGGAGGGGGGAGGGGAATGGGTCTGTCAGTAAGAAGCGTGAGGACCCACGTTTGATCCCCAGGCATGGTCGTTCCTGCTTCTTGTAATCCCAGCCCTGGGGAGGTGGAGGCAGACGGGTCCCTGAGGTTCGCTGGCCGGCCGGCCTAGATACACATTCACAGTCACAAAAAGACCTGGGGCACAGCAGGGACATTCCGGTGCATTCGAGAATATTCTATAACGTTCTTCTTTCAAAAGTTTTCTAGCAGACCCTTTCAGATCTCCAGAATCTACCCAACATGGTAGCGTCCCCCATCCAAAGGCCAGAATGCTTCCTTCCATCAGGCAAATCCACACGCATCACAGAAGACCCTGTGGCTCCTTCCTACCTGCAGGACATCCGCGAGGTCCTGGCAGATGCTGGCCATATAGTCGGTCCTCTCAAACAGCCGCTTCCGGTCAAACTCCCAGCGCGCCTCCCGACCGGAAGCCTCGATCTTGGCCCGGATGTCGAAGTAGGATTTCTTCCACAGCTTGAGAGTGTTTCTGGCATCCAGGGTTTTGTGCTGGGCATTCGATCTGTTTTCTCTGTTAGGCAAAGAGGCGTCGGGGGCTTCTTCGTCGAGCAAAGACGCAGCTGCCCACATCTGAGCCACACTCCCCCCCGGAGCATCCGTATCTGGGAGGATTCTCATCCAGGACCTCCCCTGGCACCAAGCCCTCCTCGAGGGAATGTTTCCTCGTGAGCCTCTACAATTTGCGAGGGCACAAAAGGGGCCCCCAAGCTGGGCCCGATCTGTTTTTTCCCAGCAGCCATCCCACCCAGCTCCCGGGAAGGCGTGGCGGCATGAGGAGGAGAGCAGGTATCCTTGGTGCCCGTCCTCCTGGCCGCAACCCTGGCGCACAGACCCTGCGTGGAGCCGACCTCACCCATGTGAGAAAATGGCTGGGCGCAGCCCAGTGGTGGGGCATGTGTTTAGCTTTAGGAGACCCTGGGTTTGATCCCCACATCACGAACACACATAATAGTTAAAACCCGACAGGCTGCTCCTCCTGAGGGCCCAGGCCTAGGGCTGAGCATGCCCCGGCCATTTACCTCGGTTTCTCCAAATATAAATAAGGAACAAAGTCCCAGTCAAAACCACACACGTTTAAGAGCATGCGCTGCCCCGCCACGGGGGGCCAGAGCTCAGATCCCACCATGCACTTCGGGGCACCTCACATTACATGTAACTAGAGCTCCAGGGGGAATGTGATGCCCTCTTCTGGCCTCTCCTGCAGGTACCTGCACACATATGTGCATACATTCACACAGACACACACCCGTACACATAAATAAAAATAAAATAGCCCACGCATGGTGACACATATCTTTAAGGCCAGCTCTTAGGAAGCAGAGGCAGGCAGATCTCTATATCAAGTTCCAGGCCAGCCAGAGATACATAATGAGACCCTGTCTCAAAAAAATTAGACTTGAGAAACCATACGCATATAAAATTGTGTGTTACACAATATAATCATATATGAAATTGTGTAAATAAAATGCATGTTACATTTTAGCAAGGGAATATTATTCGGTCATAAAAAAGAATGAAGTACAGGTGAAAGACCCCCACTCCATTATGAGGACATGGGGTGTTGGGCCAATAAAATGCCCCCCCCCAGTCCCAATAACTTAGGCTAAGAAACGCCATTCTGAAGGAATCAGAAAAACAGGAGTTCACAGCCGTAGCCAGCCACCTGGCCTTGAGAGAGATAACTGTGGTCGGCGGCCTTGGGAGAAAGACAGTTGAGTTATATCAGGATATTTTATGGCGGGCCCCTGGCCTTGAGGAATAAGCGGCTGGGCTGAAAAAACACCCACTATACCCTGGGCACGGCCAAGTCAGCCACACACATACGACCCCAAGTTTACCCTGGCCTTCTTTGAAACAACCAATAGGGACCCTGTAACTATGCTTCTCGCTTCTGTAACCGTGCCTCTGCCCCTGGGATCCCATAAAAAGTCCCCC